CCGCTCGCATTACTACGGAAGAAACGTCGTTGCTGGGAGCCAATCAACGGTATATGCAACGCCTGTTGCGAATCGTGGAGGAAACCATGAATACGTCTCCGGTTGACATGATGCTGAAATTTACTCTCAGTGCCTTATGGAACCTGACAGGTGTGTTCCCTACTCGTTATTCTTTTTCCTGTCTCAATGGTTTAGGTTTGCCGGAGTATTTGTTCGTCGTAGCGTATAAATTATGCTGAATTTTCGAATTGTTACGATCTGACGTCCTCAACTCTGTTTCGATTCTGTTTTCTTTTCACATAGGTGTCGCCTGAATCGGTTGGTTTCAATTCAAGCGCTTCATGTTATCATTCTGTCGGTTCTTGCGTAACTTTTTTGTGAGGTTGGGGATTCGTGCGACTTCTATCTTGTGTTGCAGTGGAAGAAAATTTCGGAAATCGTTCAATTTTTTTTATGTAATAGGAGATAGTACGTTGAAATTTCTTTTACGATTTTAGTCCATTTAGAAAGGGCATGTTGAGTCTCAGGTCTAATATATATTCTCATGATATAACTCTTGAAAATATTTTCAATATTTATATTTTGAGGAATTATATTGTTTCTTGATGTGAGGTGATGTAAATTAACGTTATGTTGACGGAATGCTTCATTTGAGCTATTTTTATTCGCTTCTCAACAGATGAATCTCCCAGCACTTGTGAATCATTCATCAAAGCTGGTGGCCTTCTCCTGTTCATAAAAATCTTGAACAAACCGGATTGCGATAGTACAGTAAAGACGAAAATCCTCGGCCTCGTGAATAACATCGCCGAGGTCAGTCCGTTACGGCGCAACCTCATGGACAAGAGTCTCATTGATCGACTGAGGTTTGAATTTGGAACGTTTCGTTTTTCGTTGAACGGAAATTTAAGTTGAAGTTCACCCTCTGTTTTCTTCAGGGAATTGATGAAGACGGATCTCATAGAAGTGAGTTATTTTGCAGCCGGCGTTTTAGCGCATATGACGACGGACGGAGAAGAGCCTTGGTCGGTTGATGGCGTTGCGCATACGGACGTCCTTAAAGATTTGGTGAGTGGCTTAGATGAAATATTCGAGGTCATCTTGACCGCGAGCAGACTGAGTTTTTCACCTTTGCGCTCGTTAAAAATTTCATGTGAAATTATGGCACTTGTCTTGTTCTAATCGCGTATTTTCGAGAAAGTAAATATGTTTGGCTGGTACTTCTTTGACTTTTTCATTGTTTAGTGCAGTTGTACCTTGATAACTCGAGGCTATCTTTTCCGAATTTATTTCAAGTCCCTATCTGAATTCCGCTGGAATACCCCAGTCGGAACAATGCAGTAAAAGCCTCCCTAACTCAAAGGATTTTCTCCTCAATCCTCCAGAACTCAAATTTTCTGGATGATTTTTGGCTATTATTTTATTGACGCAAGAAAAATAAAAGCAATTAAAATTATACTTGATGCGTTTTGAAAGGAAGTGAAAGACTATCTGGACAAGTGAACCTTTGCCTCCAAGTTCAGCATTTTGTCCACCCATTTATTCTGCAGTTCAAGGCCGAAAAATCGCGTATTTTATTTTTCTTGTACAGTAGTTCTTTGGGAACATTTATTTTTCCCTAACTTTTTTTTTTGCTGGCCCCTTGCAATTTGACTCGCAGAGGTTCTACAATTTTCAACGTGGCGGTAATCGATGTGATTTTGCACGAACGGTGTACAGTATTCATTTTTGTTTATGGAATTGCAGGAAATTGTCGGTGAATGGGCAATGCCGGATGCAGAAATGGTGGCATATCGAACTTTTCAGCCGTTTTTCCCGCTATTGCGAACCACGTCACCTCATGCTGTTCAACTTTGGGCCTTGTGGGCCATGTTGCACGTTTGCAAATGGAATCGTGAGTGTGTTGCTGTACTGTAATATTAAATT